TCTTCACCATATAAGTTGAGAATAGAGGTTATATCCCACATGCAAGAGCAATTCATAGTGGTGTGAGTTTTGAATGCATGAATTTAATGTATTGGAAATAAGTTTGGTATAATTTGGGTTTGCATGTGATTGATTCATAAGATTTGAGCTTCATAATGTAGTAAATTGGTGTTTGTATCATGTTAGTAGCTGCATATAAGAGTTATGGGTTATAAAATGCAAGCTATGTTAATTTAAATGCAAGTTTGAAGCTCAAATTGGTTGCTGAAAATTCCAGAATTCGACATGTCCGCTCGAGCGGAGAAAGCGCCGCTCGAGCGTGAAATATTAGTTCCCAGAACTTTTGCAGACTTTGATGTCCGCTCGAGCGGGGGGAGTTACGCTCGAGCGTAAGTCACATGTGTTGACTCTCAGCTCGAGCGTCCGAAGTCGCGCTCGAGCATAAAAATAAGGCAACCAGTACTTTTGCAGACAAAATAGGTCCGCTTGAGCGGCTAAAGCGACGCTCAAGCAGGGAGCCCTATTTCTGAAACTTTGAAAGGATGTTTTGTGCTTCATTTTCCGTTCTCTTTCATTTCTAAGCACTCTTAGGCATGCATTGAGCATTATGAATGAATGTAGAAGATAAGGAAAAGGCCTAAGCGGAATATGTGAATTAAGAATGGATTGAATCGTTTGTGACCCATATGTGTTATGTAATGTATAGGGTCGAGCTCAAGGGCAAATCCATCAGTAGAACACTGTGAGTAATATCTTAGTAAAGATATTTTCAAGTATGTTACTTTCCAAATGCTACTTTTGTATAAGCTTCATGGAGTTGTTGATTTGAAATGTGAATGAGTATTCTATATGCCCAATTTCGTATAAGACCATTTGATACATTTGATATATCTGAATTCGGCCAAAGGCCATTTGACATGAATGATTGGGCCAAAGGGCGTTGGATATGAATGATTAGGCCAAAGGCCGTTGGACATAAATGATTGGGCCAAAGGCCATTGAACATGAATGATTGGGCCAAAGGCCGTCGGATATGAACGATTGGGCCAAAGGCCGTTAGACATGAATGCAAAGATGGGCCAAAGGCCGTTTTGAATGTCATTTGATATGTTTGAATACTGTGATGGGCCAAAGACCGTTTGAATGAAAGGGATCATGATCATGAATATGAAATACGCATGGATATGAATACAAAGAGAATGGGCCCGAGGCCGTTTGATACGCCTGATATATTTGAATTGGGCCCGAGGCCGTTTGATATGTTTGGATTGGACCAAAGGTCATTTTGAATAAAGAGTTGGTTAGACCAAAGGTCGTTTCGTATAGATGGACCCGAGGTCATGTTGTCTTATGCAAGAATTGGACCTGAGGTCGTTTTGCATATGGATATGATGTGTTGGATCCAAGGTCATTTTGCTTTGTTGAGATTTGTAAATCTGGTATGAATGAGAATAGTGGTTCAAATGTGTACACTATAAGTATGATTCATTTATGAACGAACCTCATTCATTAACCTCTTTATTTTGATATTATTCACTGGGTGTTAGCTCACTTTTATTTATATGTATATCGGTGAGCAAAGGGACGTTCAACCCCAGCCTTAGTGGAATTTAAGAAAGGAACCCGAGTTATGTGAAGTCAGCCCAGGTGCCTCACGCAAGAGGCTTTGTTTATGATCTTTTGTATTTCTTTTGCTATTTCTATTGGTCATGATAGACCGTTTATGGGTACAAAGCTTTTGGTTTAGCTGGCTATGTGTTTGAATGATCCTAGGTATACACGATGTTAACTACTGGTATGTGGTGTGAGTTATTATTAAGTATATGTGAAATATTTTGATATGCCATGTAAGTATAGTTCATTGGACAAAATTTTTAAGTTTGCTTCCACATCTGGCCCCATATTATTAATTATTAATTGATATCAAGTTTGAGGCCGTAGGTAATCTCATGATTACTGGCTGGTTATGACCTTAATCTATAGGGGCGGGTTTGGGACATGACAATTATGTACAAGTTTTTCAAAAACCAGAAAGCACTACAACAATAATGTCCTACAAAACAAAGCTATAATAACAAAATTGCTACTCAAATGGACAATTTTATGGGATAATACATGAGCAATAATCTGAGTGGAGGAATGAGACCTGTGTCAACAAAATTCTTCATATTCATCAAGTTACGGACACGTGGGTCGTGGAAAACTAGAATTCCCTCCAAGATAATTACATCAGATGCATTTACCTGACAAAGAACGTTGAATTGTAATTCAACGAAGTTGAAGGAAAATTCATAAATCATCAAAACAACATTGTCAATATAAAAAACACAACATTCTCTCTCTCGCTCCCTCTTTGAGACACTCAGGGCAGACCAAATATTTTTGATGCAGACAATAATTACACTGATCCTTTTGTAGATAATGAAGATGACTCCTATTTCAGACCAAGAGCTTCTCCTAACATGGAAACAATTTTCAAACTCAAGCCTTTGAAAGTGATCTGAAGTTTTGGCTGGTGATAGCATGCATTTTTCTTTAAGTAGTGTGATATTGAATAGGCATTAACCAAATTCTGACATTGAAAGAGCTTGTCTTATTTCTTTTTTACTGTCATGAAATAGCTTTCACTTGGAGACAATGAGATTAGATTCAAAAGTGGACTCAACGTGCTCCACTCACATAAATACAAGAATTACCAATTTATTCTTTTTCTGTAAAATAAATAATGACGCAAGCATTAACAGTTTCTTCGTCTCCCAAAATGCAATGAAATACAAAATCAGCATCAGAAGTTGTCCATAAATAGGTGAAACCTGTGGCTAGTTGCTTTGCTTAGGATGCTCACATAGTGGCCATGCTAGCTAACGGCAATAAAATGCAAAATCAGCATCAGAAGTTGGCCATGCTAGTTGTCCACTTTAAATTGAGGTATGCCATCTATTCTTAGGCTAGAACCTGTTTCCTCTTTTAATAGGTAGGGAAAAACTATGAGTCTGTAAGTTGTCAGTAAAATAAATAAAAAAAGCAATCCCAATTATGAGTGGAAAAAGATTAATTTACTGGCAAACAGGTGTGTGGAGCCAACTAAGATTGTTAATGTAAGGCATGGGCATGGCCATGTCTGGTCAATTTTAGCTAAAGCAGAACACAAATGGATAGAAACAAAGAGGAGAAGCCTAGAGCCTAACCAGGAATTTTTTCACAACTTATTTCTACTTCATTCAGCCCGAGGAGTTTGTTATTCAAAGAAAACTCTGTTTTTCACAAGCCCTCTCATGGGCATTGAAAGTATCTGCTGCAAATGTTGAGAACTGTGAGAAAAATTGATCCACTCATCTCCTTACTGGGATCAAGGACATTTATAAGCTAAATTTTGAAATAGATTCTTACCCACACCCCTAACAAACGTAATTAATAATACCCAACCCAACCCAGCCCAGCCTAATGCCCTCTTTTCTCACATCAGAATTGTTAAGAAGCTTGGTGTTTTACCTGTGATATTAATGTGGTAAGATAATATTAATGCAGGAGAAATTTATCCGAGAAAGGTCAAAACAATTATTGAATTTACAATGACTTAATAAGTCTTTGTGGCTCAGAGACATTCTATGGACTTTGACCATAGCATGTAATAAGGAAGGACATGCATAGCCAAAATTAGGATATTAAAATGAATGATTAGCAATAACATAAAACCTAGAAGTTGATTTATTCTTGACAAGTTCAAGGTCACAACAATTCTTAACAAAATTATATAAAGGAGCTGAGAAGCTTTTATCAAGTGCGATACATACCGACTACCACATTAATAGTACATACAAAATGTTGCATAAAATATTACCTATCTGCGATGGTTTTTAAAATCATATATTGGGACCTGGACAGATTCGCCACTTTTGAGTTTCTCAATGCACTCTACAAGCTGTTCGGAGTCAAAAGCATCTACACACAAGCAAACATATATTTTAGATTTGCATAAAAGCTCATGTGCTTTCTACTGCATTCTAGTTGTACCATATAGTCAGCAAAGCAAAGAAAAAAACACCAACAGAGTTTACGTACAAATTAAAGGCCTATAGCAATACTTAATTATAAATTTTATTACCAGGATGATCAAAGTTATATTCATGTAGTCGTTGTGCTTCTTTAGTTGTCAAGCCAAAATAAAATGAATCCTACATATAAGCCACACCAAACATATATCCGAAAATTTGAAAGAGAAATTTGCATTCATAAAAGAGTGAGTAATCCAAGCCAATCAACCAGGTGTTTATCAAAATTCCTATTGCATTCCATATTGTAGCCATAGAATCCTTAACAACAAAAGTTAAAAAATATACATACCATACATGACATTTAACTCTTTGGTAAAAAAATCCCAACCGTACACTGCCAGGTATTACCCACACTTACGATCATGACCATAATACCAGAAGGCCGTAGTAAAACACTCAATAAAGTGAGCTAGGTTTTTACTGGGGTCAAATATCATTCAATGAAATAATAAACTAAAAGAAAGAAAATTACAGGAAAAATGAAATTTAGAAAAGAAACCAAGAGAAATAAAGTGTGCTGAACACAACAATTGGTCAAAATTATCAAAAAGTTCATTACATTCACCACCGCAGTAGTACATTACACTGAGCATCAAATTTTAAGTAAGAATACGTATATCAACTTAAAAACACCTATCAATGAGAGCATCACAGAAAATATAATCATAACTAACTAACTTGACATTTCAACATAACAAAAAAATCATTACAGATCAAAGTATTTCAAAAAAAAAATTGTACTACCACACTTAAGAGAGGTAGAGAAAGAGGGAAACTCTACCCATGTGAAATGAGACTATTAGCTAAAAAGTCGAGACAAAATTTTTAAAATGTCAGAGAGTGGAATGCAATTAGATCAAATTTTAGGGTGTCAAGTGTAATTTACCATAAATTAATAGAACTGTGAGGATGTTTGTGCAAAAGAATACGAAAAACCAAGCCTTTTCCCTCGCTATCTCCCTCTCATCACTGTCAGTGTTCCCTCGCTCTGCGTTACATTCGAACCCTACATTTTCTCTGTCCGACACTAAATCTTCTTCAATCTCTCTCGATCCAGCCTACATTACTCGCTATACAATGCAAGATTTCATCGGCTCAGTTTGCCGATCTCTGGTTTTCAAGCCCTCCGACGATGGAGGTGTCTTCGGAGGTTTCGTTGAGAAGATCGGCTCCATCATTCGCAAATCGGGAATCGGACTCTTCTCGAAGCCTCCAGTCCCTGCACTTCCACCGATTGCCAAGTCTGATGCGATCAAAGTCAAGAAAGACGATGCACCGATTGCCAAGTCTACTGCGATCAAAGTCAAGAAAGACGATGCCCCGACGATCCGGTGGAGGAAAGGTGAATTGATCGGTTGCGGCGCATTTGGAAGGGTTTATATGGGACTCAATATCGATTCTGGAGCTCTTCTAGCCATCAAGCAGGTTAATTTTTAATTTTTATTTTTTTGAAATCTGTTTGGTTTTGATTTTGTTACATTCTAATTTTTTAATATCTATGCAATGCAGGTTTCAATTGCAGGCAACAGTGCTGCAAAAGAGAAAACACAGGTTTTGTATTTCATAAATTAAAATTTTATTTGTTAGTTAAGTAGATTTCATGTCTTTATTTCTGCTCCTTCTTTTGTTTTAAATCAGATGTATGATGATGCTAGAGGGGTTTTATACCCCAGAACCTTGACTACTTAATTCTATTAGTTCACTGTTTTACCAAGAAAAAAAAAAAGGAAAAAAAAAGAAGAAGTTATGAAAAATATATGAATTCAATGTATAAATTGTTTAATACAATGTGTTTGTTAATTTTATAATATTTATACAACTAGACAATTCTCTCCCATGATTATTTTATTTTATTTTATTTTATATTATGAACCAACATGTATTTTCTCTGTACAATCACTCAAGAAACTCTGAAATTGTGTTTGGATAGAATTTGTAAAAATAAAAATAATAATAATAAAAAAAAGAATGGAAAAGTGAACGAAACAGGCTTTTATTTCATGCACAAATCTATTTAATTTTTTTATATATATAAATTCGAAATTCTATGATAATTGTTTTTGTACAAATCTAAAATTCAATAGTCAAACTGATTTTATTCGAATAGTTTCTTTGGCTCCAAGCAATTTGGGCGGATATAGAATACTCATTTGTGCATAATCAACATCAATGACTATAATATGAATTCTAAAGAATCAAAATATTTTGATGTAGATATGAAGTTGTTGGGTAATTTTTAATTTTTAAAGGAATTTCTAACAAGATAGGATTGTAAAGTAGTTAATAGATATTTTTAAGCTAATAATTTTAATATTATTTTAAATTTTGGCCAAAAGTCATGATTAAATTGTAACAAATAATTCAATTAGATTTTTTGAATTACTTAAAAAAGCCCAAGTTTATTTCTAGTAATAGTATAAATCCGGTATTAGATCTATTTTTAGTGTGTAATGTGACTTCAAACCAATAGATGTATTTTTTAAATTATTCATGGCATATAGATAAAGGAGCAAATGAACTAAATAATAGATTTTTTAATTAATTACAAATTAAGAAAATTAACAAATTAATTTGAATTTTTGATGCTTCCAAAACTCATCGATTAAATTTTTAAAAAAATAAACAAAAATTTATTGATTTTAGGAGAGTCCAATGCATACATATAATTGAACAAAACTCACAACTTGTTTAACAACCAGCAAATAAATGTTTAAATTTAAAGATAAACACAAATAAAATATTATTTTTTTAATATTATTAAGTTTGTATTCAATTTTGCACATTAATTCAAGTCCTCCTAGTTTTTTCATCTCCTTCTTCTTCTTACCCTCAACTTTAGCTTCTTATGATGATGATTATAAAAAGATATTCATTACTCTCAGTCACCATAGTCCCATACCCTCAACTTTAGCTTCTTATGATGATGATTACAAAAAGATATTCATCACTCTCAGTCCCAACAGTGCCATTACTTTTTTGTTTGTCCAAAATATTTGAAAAGGAAAAACACTATGAAAATGGAGAAATGATTGAATAGTTTTTAAAAAGTGATTCAATATTAAAAATAAAAATAAAAATATGAAGCACACAATTGAAAAATGTCCGATAAAAAAAAAAAGGAAATGAAAATAAAACCTTTAGAATTGTAGTGATATACCCATGTCTTTATAAGTAAATTGTAGATAAACAGGTTTTGAGCGAGTGTTTATTTAGAAAGATGTAGAGAAGTAATCATGTTGTTGTAACAAAGAAGAGAGCATGCAATCAAGAGTTGTGAGTTTTTTTTTTCCTTCATCATCTTTAATTTCATTTTGGTGAGAATAGTACAACTATTTATGGAGATTGGAATACGAACATAAGAGAAGCTTTTTTAGATTTTTTATAGAAAAGAAATAAGGATAACTATGTAGGATTTTTATCTTTTTTTTTTTAATTTGCTTCTTTTTATCTCTTGGTTTTTTTATGTGTTTTTATTTTTTTTTAGATTTTTGTAGAAGAGAGATAGGGATAACTATATTGGATTTCTATTAGTAAAAAACCAAAAGCCAACTTTTTACCATCTTCCCAAAACACTCCTAAATTGGTAGTTTTCTATTTTAATGTTTAAAGATTTTTGCTTTAGTTGATTGGCAAGAGTATGTTATTTGAATTTGACCTTTTTTAATTTTTGTTAGGCCCACATTAGAGAGCTTGAAGAAGAAGTGAACCTTCTTGAGAATCTTTCACATCCAAACATTGTTGTAAGTATTTGATTTGCATTCTTCGTGAAGCAATGGTTGTTCATTTTTATTGTCTTGTCTGTCTATTTTTATATTTTTGGTTGGTTTTCTAACTTTACTCGTCTTTTCTTTTTCTTGAAGAGATACTTGGGAACGACTAGAGAGGACGCATTGTTGAATATTTTGTTGGAAATTGTCCCTGGTGGATCTATCTCTTCACTTCTGGGAAAATTTGGTTCATTTCCTGAGTCTGTAAGTTGATTACCACTTATTCAAATTATATATTTTTTGTTTTTGAGTATTGAAGTTTATATCAAATAACACTCTGTCGAGAGGCAAGGCCTGCTTATTGACTTCAAAAAATTTCATTTTAGGATTTTTTTTTAATCAACAAAATAAGAAAACTTTATTGATAAAATCAAAACATTACATAGGAAGACCATCAATAAAGAAAAGACGAGAGCTTGATAGCATCATAGCACCTCAACCTGATCCCAACTAGGTTGACACCAAGAAGGATGCCCAATCTTGTGCTAGCTCAAGCCAAAATGTTGGTGAGAAACCAACAACAAACAGAAAAATCACCCCAAAACAAAGGAGTAACAAACAATCAAACCGACCCCACCTGTTAAAACTACCAAACAGCAGCCACCTATCCTACAAACAACGATCTCCACAACCAAAAATTAGCCCAGAATTCTAATTCTGTTCCGTTACCTTGAGCGAGATCTTACTTGCTGAAGGTTGAACGCCACATCATTAATAGAAAAATATATCCCATGTGTTATATTTCAACCATAAAGCAATTCTAACCTTCAGCAACTCCCAAAAATCCGTAAAATCTGGTTGAATTGCATTGAACACGCATTCATTTTTGAGCTTCCACACAGACCACGTGATAGCAAAAGGAATAGAATGCCATATCCTCCTTCCAAACCTGCTACAGCTTGTACCTAACCACCATTCCAAAAGATCTCCAATAGACCCAGGAATTACCCAAGACAAGTTCCTCCAATCCAATAATTTAGACCACAATCTCCATACCGAAGGGCAATGTAGCAGGAAGTGATTGACAGTTTCCACATTCTCCCTGCAAAACAGACAATAATTGTTCACATTGGGATCCAAAACTGCAATTCTTTGAAGATAGAAAGCCGTTTTCACTCGACCTTTCCAGGCCCACCAACCAACCAAAAAATTTCACTCTTGGTGGTGCACCGTTACCCCACAGCAGTTTAGTAATCCTAAAAGATGGACCTTGAGCAGACTCACACCATCTTCTGGCAGAGGAAACAGAAAAAGAGCCTGATGGTTCTGCATTCCACCAAGCTTGATCATCAATATTGATCCTTAGATTGGGAACATCCTCCAATACCTCAATAAACCTTTTAACCTCCTCCTCTTCCCAGGCTCGTAAAGGTCTTTTGAATGAGAACTGCTACCCTCCAGCTGCACATCTCTGGTTTGAACAAAAGACTTCAAGGAGCCATCCTTAGCCTCTAATAAGTTAAAAAGCCTAGGGAAGACATCCTCCAACTTTCCAATCACCAACCATTTGTCTCTCCAAAAGTGTGTCCTTTCACCATTACCAATCACAATTTTAAAATTTTCAACAAAAAATAAGTACAGATCAACATTTGACAGAATAGAAGATAATATATCTCGCCAAACTAAGGACATAGATCTAGTAATCACCACATTTGAAATTTCTCCTAGAACCTGTTTGCCAAGTAGGTTATGAGAATGTACATGAGATGAAAAGCTACACTCAGAACTTGAAAACCTTGCTTCTATACTATGTAATTTGCATGTTTTTTTTTTTGGTTGATATTCTCGCTGAATTTGTATGCTGAGCAGGTTATAAGAATGTACACAAAACAATTGTTGTTGGGAGTGGAATACCTTCACAGGAATGGAATAATGCACAGGGACATTAAGGTATCTTCACCTTCTTGCAAATGATTCTTAACAAGGATAAAACTTCTCTCTCTCTCTCTCTCTCTCTCTCTCTCTATGTATATATATATATATGATAAAGGGCTTGCTTTTGTCAGGGAGCTAATATCCTTGTTGATAATAAGGGGTGCATAAAACTTGCAGACTTTGGTGCATCAAAGAAAGTTGTTGAGCTGGTGTGAACAATGTTTCCTCTATTTCATTTTTTATTTAATTTTTCTAGTTATTTATTTTGTTTTCTTTCCAAGGTAATATTATGTCAAATTATTTTATACCCGAGTTATGTATGTTGCTAGTACAGGCTACCATGACTGGTGCAAAGTCAATGAAGGGTACTCCATATTGGATGGCTCCAGAAGTTATCCTTCAAACCGGTCATAGCTTGTGAGTACAATCACACATTTCCATGCTTATAGCTGATCTATGATATGGATAAGACAAATGCGACCATGTGTTTTCTTACTAGCTCAACCGATGTCACCTTAGTTACATCTTCAATGTGGATAAAGTTACTCTTACGCATTGGTGTAGTAAATGCTTGCAATATTTTCACTTAAGCACGTACATATACACCATGCTTGTTGCACTCCTTATTTTGTGCTTGTTTTAGCTCATTAGTTTAATATCAAACATTCCAGCTCTGCTGATAGATGGAGTGTTGGATGTACGGTTATTGAGATGGCTACAGGAAAGCCTCCTTGGAGCCAGCAGTATCAGGAGGTATTTTGAAACCATCATCTTCCATTGTTTTCCTATTGAAGTATTTATTTGTTCTGTTGACTACAACTTTGGGACTCGGTAAGATGTTAGTTCATTGTTTGTGAACTAACTAATTGGTGTTTCTTTTAGGTTGTTGCTCTCCTCCATATCGGGACAACTAAATCTCATCCACCCATCCCTGAGCATCTCTCTGCTGAAGCAACAGATTTTTTGTTAAAATGTTTGCAGAAGTATGTATCACATGCCTATTATTTTTGTTTCTTGCTTCTCTTGCCCTTTGTATCCATTGCCAATTATTTTTTTTAGGCTGATATACAAATTTATAAGAAGGTAATTTATGCTTTATTTTTAAGTTTGTTTCATTCTCTTATCCTTCTATGGCAGGGAACCAAACTTAAGGCCTCCCGCATCAGATCTGCTGCAGGTACTATTACACTGCAGGCTAATTTAACTTATCAATTCCTTATAAATTAAGCTCTTGACTCATATATATATATATATATATATGTAAGGTTATCTTGTAGCAGAACATTCCTTAATTCTGATGAAAAACACAATGTTAGATAATAAAAGTTGTCACTTCTTTTAATAATTGTTCTCAAAAATGTTTTTGGCTTATCATATGCAGCATCCATTTGTTACTAGGGAGTATCAGGAAACCTATACTGTGTTACGTGCTTCAGTTAAGGTCAGTATAATTGCTTGAAGCCTTCTTTGTTTGCGTTATGCAGCTTTTCTTTTTCCATTCTTATTTATTTTACAATCATTAGGAAAATTCTGGAAAAAAGATGGCAACACCTGAGATGGAGCTTAAGAACTCGTAAGGGTTTTTGTTAAATAACCTTGGGTGCTTTAAAGATATATTATTGTTTGTTATTTCTAATTATAACTCTGAGGTTGAATTTTTGTTTTAGCATGGACCCTATTATCCGGACAACCTACACACAATTGAAGGATGTTCATAATAGTGTGAGGTGCTCAACTATTTATCCTGAGAAGTTCCCAGGAAATGTCCCACATTGGGGATCAGGAAATTGTGATGATGACATGTGTCAGATTGATGATGAAGATGATCTTGTGATTGGAGCATCAGGAAAGTTTGATTTTACTTTACTTTCTGATGATTTTAATAAGGTAACATATTGCTTTTATGCCTTCCAACAAATATAATATTTGTCAGCATAGTAACCCCTAACAACCAATGGTTTGTTTTTTTTTGTTAATCTAGAGGTTTAATCCTATGTTTGAGCCGAACGATAATTGGCCATGCAAGTTTGATGACACTCCAGAGAAGTTCCCAGGAAATGTCCCACATTGGGGATCAGGCAATTGTGATGATGACATGTGTCGGATAGGTGATGAAGATGAGTTTGTGATTGGAGCATCAACAAAGTTTGGTTCTGCTTTAGTTTCTGATGATTTTAATAAGGTAACATATTACTTTTATGTCCTACAACAAATATAATATTTGTCAGCATAGTAACCCCTAACAACCAATGGATTGTTGTTTTTGTTAATCTAGAGTTTTAATCCTATGTCTGAGCTCGACGATAATTGGCCATGCAAGTCTGATGACACTCCAGAGTTGGAAAGTAGAGTGAACTTATTGTCTGGTCAAAGAGTTAACAAGGCTACTGACATCCCTCGAGCATCTGGTAAGGGGAACAATGATTTTACATTTCCATGTGGCCCCTCAGTAGCTGAGGATGATGATGATGATAATGAAGTTATTGAGTCAAAAATTAGAGCATTCCTTGATGAGAAGGTATTATCGCTTCCACTTAAGTTTTCATTTTTGGTTATGGAGGCTTTGGATCGTTTGTTGTCCAGGGCGGTTCATGGCGGTTTGTTGCAGGGACTTGAGGTGGATTATTCGGGATCAGGCCATTGTGATGACGACATGTGTCAGATAGATGATGAAGATGATCTTGTGATTGGAGCATCAGCAAAGTTTGATTTTACTTTACTTTCTGATGATTTTAATAAGGTAACATATTGCTTTTATGCCTTCCAACAAATATAATATTTGTCAGCATAGTAACCCCTAACAACCAATGGTTTGTTTTTTTTGTTAATCTAGAGGTTTAATCCTATGTTTGAGCCGGACGATAATTGGCCATGCAAGTTTGATGACACTCCAGAGAAGTTCCCAGGAAATGTCCCACATTGGGGATCAGGAAATTGTGATGACGACATGTGTCAAATAGATGATGAAGATGATCTTGTGATTGGAGCATCAGGAAAGTTTGATTTTACTTTACTTTCTGATGATTTTAATAAGGTAACATATTGCTTTTATGCTTTCCAACAAATATAATATTTGTCAGCATAGTAACCCCTAACAACCAATGGATTGTTGTTTTTGTTAATCTAGAGTTTTAATCCTATGTCTGAGCCTAACGATAATTGGCCATGCAAGTTTGATGACACTCCAGAGAAGTTCCCAGGAAATGTCCCACATTGGGGATCAGGAAATTGTGATGACGACATGCGTCAAATAGATGATGAAGATGATCTTGTGATTGGAGCATCAGCAAAGTTTGATT